TATTTAAGAGTGCAGATTTAAGAAATGAATCATAAAAATGTCTGAACCAAAAAGAATAAAATCCACATTTAAGAAATAATGCTTGAGACCAAAAACAAAATCTGAAATAACAAAAAATAAAAACTAAAGACGACAAAATATTAAGCTACAGTTGCATGATACGAAATAAAAATCTTTTAGTGGCTAATTACTATCGAATTGAACGATGCGCAATCTGAAATGCTTCTTTACAAAAAAAAAAAATTAAACTTATGAAGAAAACCTAAGCTTTGATATATGCAAGGCAAAACAAGCCATCAAGAAACTGTGGGTCAGATACTTATCATTTTACTTCTACCTTGTCAAAATCCGAAAATTTATAGCATCTTTTCACTAGTAAGTCTGCCCCCGTAACATTTTTAAACTCAAGAGCGAAAAACAAAGATGATGTATGCGCAAACTGCACTGCAAGTAACTAAGTTTCTTCAAAATATACTATCAGTGTTTCACCTTTATAGTATGACCAAATAATTGATCTGAAAAAACCAGTAAGGAGTGAACAAAGAATACCATTTTTATAAAAGAAGATAGAAGAAAATTAGAAAAAAAAACGACCTCACTCAGATAAACACTGAAAGATAACTACAAAGCTTTTACTTAACAAAATTTTCTGTAAAAAACGTTATCCCAATATTCAGAACGAACAGCAGAAAATTTCGAACTCCTCAGTATAATGAAAAAAGAATATCGGAAAATAGTGAATGAGAAAAAACAAAAAAAAATGTTCATAAAAGAAAAACAAAATGACGTAATACTAGTAAGAGCGAGAAAACTCCAAATAATCAAGGAAACTTAAGACTGAAAAGTAGCGAAAGCTAACAACAAGGAAAAGTAGAACACAGTGAAGCAATTAATCTCCAAAAAAAATTATTAAAATACATAAAATTTCCTCCTCTACTCAAATCAATAAAAAAAATGCAACAAAGTAACAAGTAACAGAAATTCCGCCAAAAGATAATCTAAAATTTTTAAAAAACTCTCCAACCTCGTTAATCGCACATACAAATTATAAAGCACTATTTCGAGATGTTTTGCCCTGAAAAACCAAAAATGCAAGAAGTGAGTATTAAAAGTAATCAGCTAAAAGCTAACAGCAATTCCGTCCATCTTCTGCATCAGAACATTTAGCGAATTCGTAGACGTTGAAGTAGGATGCAAACTGGAAGAAGTACACGTAGAAAATCTATCCTCACCAATCATTTGCATAAAATTCTCAATCAGAAGTCTCTGGTCTGTTAGCAAGGAAGATAATTCAAATATTTCCTTCTCCAAGTCTGCAATCATTATTTAAGCAACAATAACAAAAAAAATACGGGATTTAAGACAAAGCCCTTAACTAAATGCTTTGGCTATTTCGAACATACTGCGTAAAGCACCAATTAAAATAACAATTACGAGATATCTCTTTGGAAGTTTCTATAAACTGCTGGTAGTTCTGAAAAACGTTTTTCCTTATTGAATCAGAAGAAGCATTATTGAGTGCATTTAACTTTGAACGCAACGCTCGAAGATGTTTCACTTCATCGCCGCTCTTAACCTCTTGAAGGCATTCACGTACATCTAAACAAAGTAAACTTATAGCAAAAAAAAAAAAGAAAAAAACACAAGAAACAGTTCATATTTCTAAGCATTTTTGGGTACTTTAAACTACTGAACACATATTTATCAGAACAGCAACTATACTCACAGGATACTGCATCAAAATCATCGGCAGAAAGTCGAGCTTCAATCTGGTTTCCGACGGAGGGACTAATGTTTGTCATCTGGTTCTCGAAGGCAATAACGTTTTAATGCTACTACAGAGATAATAACGAAGACTACCCTGTTGGAGCTTCAAATGTTGGTTACAACTAGCTGCAAAATTTAGAAAAATCACCAAATCAGCGATCGATCCATGGCAAAAAAAAAAGTTCTAGACCAACATCAGGCTTCAGTTTAAAACAACAAAAATAAAGATGGTCAAGTTGACGCTGTCTAGTACATTCCCTTCATGCACTTGTAGTTTGTACCACTTGAGCAGAAGAGCGTTAACTAAATTCTTTTAAAATTTTCCACTGGCAATAATCTGAAGACTAACGACAGAAATCGCCATAATTCAGTAAAATCTAAAAAAAAAAATATGAACTGTATTACAAACACTGCGAAATATATAAACATCATATCTGTGCCTCAGCAACGATGTCTTAATAACTGGATCGGAACATCATTTTAATGAAGCTATTTCTATACTTCAATGTTCTGCTGTTCTCAAATAAATCAAATCTGCATTTGGCAAGGTGCCAATATTATTCGGTTTTTGGAGAGCTAAAATTACGCCCGGTCTTGAAGTCCAACACAGAGTTTCACTGAAACTGTTCCTGAGTAGAACTAAATATTTCCATTTTTAAAGCTCCCGGTACGTTCTGTTCTCTTTCATTTTTGGTAATCTTACGTAACCACATTTATCTGCTTAGCGAGGCTGGTTGAATCTGTTAAACGTTTAATTCTACCCCACAATTTACCGTTTGAACCAGGAATTTCCGGAACGGACGGCTTCGTTATTTTGCGATGGGTAAAGGTCGTCATGAGAGCTCCCAAGGGGTGAAGAATGGAGACGGTAGTCAAACAGTATGGAATTCAAAGTTGATTTTGGGATGTTGCGTTGGAGTGGGGGAATGGTTCACGATGAAGGTAGCTGACAGAGTTTCTAAGTGCGGTGTAGGATTATTACTTCTATAAATAAAAATTCTAAATACAATAAGCTATTATGTACGTGATCTTCGTTTCACGCCTAGTTTGATGACTTTGAAAGTGAGTTTAGAAGCAAATGCTAATGACTGCCTAGGGGAAGATGATTCTGTAAGTGAACGATGATAAAAAGTTTGCCCTTCAGAAGTGGAGATGTATGAGGAGAGTTTAAGAAAGGCTAAGTTGAGCAGTTGTACACTAGTTTAATGCGCATCGGAAAGAGGGAAAACAGTTTTTCTTGAAGTGATTTTTTGTTTTTCGACTTCAAAATTAGAACTTCGGCAAAGCATTGGAGCCCTTCATGAGCTTAGAACTCTGAAAATTAAAGTTAGGCAGCCGCGTTTACACATAAATGTTTCTATAAACTGGTGGTAGTTCTGAAAAATGTTTTTCCTTATTGAATCAGAAGAAGCATTATTGAGTGCATTTAACTTTGAACGCAACGCTCGAAGATGTTTCACTTCATCGCCGCTCTTAACTTCTTGAAGACATTCACGTACATCTAAACAAAGTAAATTTATAGCAAAAAACAAGAAAAAAACACAAGAAACAGTTCATATTTCTAAGCATTTTTGGGTACTTTAAACTACTGAACACATATTTATCAGAACAGCAACTATACTCACAGGATACTGCATCAAAATCATCGGCAGAAAGTCGAGCTTCAATCTGGTTTCCGACGGAGGGACTAATGTTTGTCATCTGGTTCTCGAAGGCAATAACGTTTTAATGCTACTACAGAGATAATAACGAAGACTACCCTGTTGGAGCTTCAAATGTTGGTTACAACTAGCTGCAAAATTTAGAAAAATCACCAAATCAGCGATCGATCCATGGCAAAAAAAAAGTTCTAGACCAACATCACATATAAATGCTTGTGCAGCTGCCTGTGGAACCAGTTCAGCGCCGAAAATTAAATAAAGGAACCAGACACAGTTAAGCGATATATACTAAAAAAATTGCTCTGAAGTCAAGTGCGCAAACTTGGTTTAAAGTTTCAAAATTCAGTTGGTAAGAAAGCGATCCGAATTTTGAATTTATCTTGCCAGCTGCTGCTCCTTTCTACGCTAAATATCAGAAATTAAAATTATACTGTCGTGTATATTTATTAAGTAAAATGAAATATAAAAGTAATGCATTTGGCTTTTTATAGAATGGTTAGCATTTCTGAAAGTTCAACTTTATTTAGTTTTTTTTTTTTTTAATGGATGTTTCTGTCCCGCTCGGCTATAGCAAGCTTATTATGTTTGCTTGCATTTACGGAGAACTCACCTTACTTTTTCGTCGTAATGATCAGAAGATGAGCTTTTGCTTTCTTTTGGGTGCTCTACGGTGTGATGCTGAAAAACTGTCATGTCCAATTTCCGGAACTCCTTCACTTCGTTAATACTGCCCAGATTATGCACTCTGTCACTGATGTTCCTCTGGTGCTCATTGGATTTTGTGAATGTCAGATTCTCTATGCTTATCATGCCTAAAATCAGTAGTGCTTTCAATGCGATACGTTATTTTCAAGTGTTTTCCAACTTGGTTGTTAGTAATATACATAAGTAATATAATTTTTCCGGATTGAATTTCTCATCTGTCTGTTTCAAAAGAACGCTGCATTTTTTTCTAATGCGAATTACGAAGAAACGGGTGTTTTGTTTTATGAGACTTTTTCCGCACAACAGGGATACATGGAATGAGGACAAATAGTAAGTATTATATAGTTTACAAGCACTGACTTCCTTTGATCAGCTTAGGGAGAAGCTTTGTTGCAGGTTTATTACGTAGTAGTCAATGAAATGCTGTGGGAGAGTACTATTTTGAAGGAAAAAATTTCTAAACTTTTGAGCTTATATTTTCTTCAGAAATAGCGACTCTGTACTCACCACCGTTATGCTTAAACTATAACTTCAGTAATTGGAATGTTATCTACCAGCTTCTGTAATGTGCAAAGCAATTTCAGACTTTGCTGAAAACAGCAGCTGTCTCCAAATAAGTTTTCCTCATTCTCTTATAGTGCTTTTTTTCTAAATACCTTAGAGCCAACATGCGTCCGTATGAAAAGCCCCGAAGCGACTTTTTAAAGTTATATTAATATTATGGACAGCACATCTATCTTCGGGATACTCTCCTGATTAAAACTGTAGTACCCCTTACATAACTCCCAGTCATACTGAATTACTAAAGAGCGAAAAAAAAGGACTAAGAAAAAACGGAAAGACAAGGAAATTCGTCTGTATCCCCAACAGAGCATGACAAAAAGTTTTTTAACCACTTGCAATGCAGCATTTCCAACGCTTACAACAAATTTTTGTGCTTTGGATGCACAAGGAACAATCAGGAATTTTTTATGATTATTAGAACATCAAAAATCTGTATCATATCTACATCTGTATCTGGAGCGGACAACAAGCATATAAGGTTCAAGCTAAAACATATTCTTTGATAAGGTCCCAACGTTCTGAAGTGATTTTTTTTCATTAGTCCTTCATCTTGTTTTGCAATTTCTCTTGACAGTTCCGGTGGGTATATTAGACGGTTGCACTTCAGAAAAACAGTTAATTCCTTAATGAAGAAAAAGACTTGTTTTTTGATTGGGTTATCTTATGACAGAATTCTCAACAGTATGGAAGTTAGCAGTCTCTGTAATAAGCTTGTCAAGAGTTGACCCGAGAACTTTGCTGATAGTAGCCAAGTAGTTGCTGGGATGTTTAAGGAACATTGTTGTCGTGTAATCATTCTTGATCATTGCTTGCTTGTGCAGGTGGACAAACCGATCCTCCATGTCGAAGAAAGCTACAGCAGATGTATAGTTGAATACTTTGGAAGATGCTCTTCAGATATTTTATAATTTTTAGTTGCATGTGAAGAGAAGTAGCATTTGAGAGATTTCATCAATTTAACCTCCGGGAAGTCACAGCTGTGGTTCTTCTGGCTTGATAGAAACGTATCAGACCTTTTGCTCTGCTGTTAGGCTTTGCCTATGGCTAGGCGGCAAAAAAACATAAGGCACCTCTGGTTAGTATTCGCTTCTAGACCTCATTTGTGCTAAATGCATATTTGGCCACATACTGTTATATTTATCTTCCCCTATTTTGATTTGACTTTACTCTTGTTCTTAGAGATATTGATGAAATTGTAATGAAATTTATCCTCGTTTGCGCGTTGCCTTTTAATCTGTTCGTTTAACATAATCTTTATTTTAGAATATCCACCTTAGTGATGTTTGGAGATTAGGTGGAGCGCCTTAATAATACTGCATACTATGGGTGAAAGTTACTTCTGTTGTGAAGAGTGGTATCCGACTGCCGAATGGTTGGACCACATTGAACTTGATCATGACAATTCTGAAACTTTACCCTGCCCTGTCTGTGGACTTGAGATGACAGTGCTTAAAATTCGACCTCATGTTTACGGTGAACATCTTGTTTGTTGTCCACATGCTGGATGTTTCTTTTGCTCAGAGTCCTTCGACGTTGTTGAAGACCATATTGTGAGAACTCATAGTAAGCTGTCTTCCTCTTTGCAACAGGTATTCTTCTTATTTGCTTTCTCCAAAAGTAGACAGTGTATTTTATGTATTTAGCTAATTTTAAAATGAAGAATCAAAAATTCACTTGGATTCGTTTTCCCCGGTTTTATATAATCTTCGAATTTTGCTGTATAGCTAGTTACTCAAAATTTAAGTTATTGAACGGCGCAGTAGCACAGTTTCCCACACTGTTATAGGCAGATGATACTTCTCAACGCATTGCAACCCTCTTGAAGTCTGATAATAGAGTTCAGAACGTCTGGCTAGCAAAATATTTGGTTTTGCACAAGGTTGGTCGTGAAGATGAAGGATTTGGTTGTGGATTTCGTAATATACAAAATATTGTAGCCAGCTTAGTTTATGAACCGGAATTCAGGAGAGCATGTGGGTTTCATTGCACCCCAAATATATCGCAGATCCAAGCTGATATAGAAAGTGCTTGGGCAGCCGGTTTTGATCCGGCTGGTGCTGCTCAACTTGATGGTCGGTTACTTGGAACCACAAAGTGGATTGGTGCTACAGAAGCTGCGATTTTTCTCCAGGTAGTTTCTATTGAAAAAATTATTTTTGTTTATCACCTGTTTTATTTTTGATTACATTTTCTAGTACCATAGTGTAAGGATTCAACTAGTCGACATAAAATTATATCCCAGTAAGTGTGACGGTCAAAGGCGCCTTTCGACCTGGGTGGAAGAGTATTTTCGGTCATCGGATCCAGCGTTTCCATTATTTTTCCAGCATGAAGGTAATAAAACAGAAAAGAGTCAATCGTTGAAATCATTCCAGCTAACTGTCAAATGTTTAAAAGATTTTACAGTTTTTTTTTTTGACTGCTCCGGCTTATTCATAACGTATCTGATTTAAGATGGACAGATTTTAGGAAGCATAAATTTTATTAGTCTGTAATGTTACTTTCATTTGGCAGACCCAAAGTTTATGAAATGTTAATATCAGAATAAGTCTCTTTTCTCTATTCTTATTTGGATTATTTTGTAATTTTAAGTGGCATTTCTTGCTTAGGCCACAGCCGGACTATAATCGGAGTTGAAAAAACTGCTGCAGGCTGTAACTTGCTTATTTACGATCCAGCTGTAGATCCCGAGAAGATCACTTTGGCTTTGGAGTCGTTTAATTTGGAGGCTCTCTCTTTCCTTCGCTTCCCACCGTCATCGTTGGATCGTCGTGAATACCAAATAGTAGCAGTTCGAGGTGTTCTTCCAGTTCCTTACTACGAAACTGCTAAGAATTTTACCTCATTTAACCATGTTGACCTGTGAAATGTAAACGCAACACTTCTGCTTAAATTAACTGTGATTGCAAAAATAGTGATTTATGTTCCTCTGTTTTTGTCTGTCATCATTTTTCTGGTAAATATATGGATTTTTCGGGTTTTTCGTAAAGTCTCTAATGTTTGTAGGAAAAGTACTCCCTTTACTTAAATCCCCTGCTTTTACTGGAAGGAAGAGACCGGTGACTTACTGCTTTCCTAGCTTTTCGCACCAGTTTCCCCCTCGTTTCCTGGTTTTTTCAATATGATTCTGGGTTGTATTCTTCTGATGAATATCTGTTTATTTAGAATTTTTCATCATGTTTTTCTAGTTCTATGCAATTTTGCCTTATTATTTCACCGTTCCTTTACTTCTCTCTGATTTGTGTAACCGGTTTCAACTTGCACTCTTCAACACCTATTTGCTGCACTTTAATGGAGGTTTCCAAAAGTTCATTTGCTTTACCTTCCCGATTCTTCAAGAACAGTTTTTTGTCATTTTTTAGTGTTATCAGTAACAACTTGAGGGATATGATAAAATGATTAGCGGGTAGAAATGATCAGTGAAACATAAAACTATTCTTTGTTACAAGAAGCTGCTTCTTGTTCTGTTTTGGAAGAGGCGGGGTGGGTGGGAAGGAGGCATTATTCGACTATATCGGCTAAGTTGTATGGTTCAGCCACGTTAGTGTTGCGTAGTAGAGCATGAGATATCTGCAATACTTGTTCAGATTTAAAAGTTGTTGGTCATTCTCCAGGTTGTGTGTGGAGAAACAGAGGCCCTAAATTTAGGATGCAGCAAATTAGAGTTGCATTCGGATTTGCTTTATATTCCATAAAATAAGTGCGGAAAATTAGCCAGGTGTTTCATTAAGAAGAACAGCTTCCTAACTTGAGCGTTTGACTTCTGGGCTTATTTACACATGTTATGGAATGGGAAAGTAAGAGGTGAAATCAAGGGAAGAGCCACAATTTAAGAAGGAAGGCATTTCGTAGTTTCAATATAATTCTACCTAATAATATTATTGAACTGCAGAGATCATACAGGGTAAATTCCGGGTAATGGTCACTGAAGAAATATTTATCAAGTGGCGACGTTCTGTTAGGGAATTGCATTAAGGAGGTATTAACGGAAAATAAGTGCTAGATTACTACCTGAATCAGACTCAGACACAGCTTTTTTCAGGTAGTTTGTCTCCATCTACCTCTCCAAACGCTGTCTGAATGAGCACTAATTTGTTGCTCTAGAGTCAGATAGTTTACGCTCCTTTATTGGTTGCTCCAGGTTCCTAAAGAGCCCTCCTCACCTGAATTAAACGACAAGGACGTAGCGTTTAACTGTAGAAGTGAACCAGAACCTTCGGACTTATTCCTTGTTATAAGACCCGCTAAGAGCACCCAGAAGGTTTACAAGTGAACAGTAGTCCTAAACTTCTGTATATTTCGGCCTGTCACTTTAATTTGATAAGTTTCTGCATCACAAGAATGCAATGTTGGGTAGTTTTATTAGTATCTTTTTAAGAACATCCAACAAAACAAAAACAAGCTAAGTAGAGCACAGCAATGAAGTGTAAGCTGACAGTGAAAAAAAGGTGATCAACGAGATGGGAAACGGAAAGAAGATACAACAAGACAATTTACTCACGAGAAACTGATCTTTGAGGGGGTGTGGAAGGTCAGCAGAAAAAACTTCTAGATAAAGAATTTCAATACTTCTCCCAAAAGAATGGAAATATTTTGATTCAATTATAACCTGTAGGCCACCTCTTGTAGAGGAAGACGGCCTACAGCAATATATTAATCCTCTTCAAGCATGGGCTAAAGACAAGACGTCCAGAAAACTTGTTTTTTACGGGGTGGTTCTGTTTATTGAGAATAATTATTTTACAACATCTTGGAAGGAAGTCGCGCAAAATATGAGTGTTTCTACGTCAAGCTTTAAATGCATTAAGACCTCAGATATCAAAATAGTTCTTTTACTCCCTTATAGCTAAAGTAGACAAGAAGCGATATGCCCAGTGGGATCAAAAAATTGCTCCACGTTGGACTAATTACTATCTCCCGCCACTGCCCGAGAAAACATTGTCCAAGGCAACATTCAGGACTTCTTGTTTTCTCCTTTACACCCTCTTCCTCTGACGTCTTGAGCTGACCGACAACATATTCTTCAGCCATCTTCCAAGCGTCGGACGAATGTCCAACGTCGTGAAAGCTGCTTGTGGCGTCCTGTCCAGCCAAATCTAACAAAGCCTGTTCACCACCTGGATGTTCCGAAAGAAATTTTGTCACGTCATAAATCTGAAATTCCTACCAAGTAGACGACAGAAGGTTTTATTCTTTTCTTTTTGTCAACCTTTCTCAATTATAAGAGATTTCTCTTCAAAGGATCGGATGAGCCATAGTTGAGTTTTAGTGCAACTGGTACATAAAATATGAAATATAAAATTTATATGTCGTCAGAGTTATTTAAGATTTACTGAATATTTTCCTTTTAATCATTTAAGTAAATAAAGATGAAGTTTAAGAAAAGAAGTATGTTAAATAAAGGACCGAATAAAGGTGAAGTTAATCAACCTTGTCTTCTAGTATGATATAAGCCGATGAGGAGTCATTGTGACTAGCTACTTCTTGTTTGGTGAAGACTTTTGACTTGTCGCCCATTTTGCCGGAGTAAAGTAGATGCAATACTGAAAAAGTTGGAAATTTTATTTTCAATACCATTGTACTGAATTCTGATCCTCCAAGAACATTAAATTTATAGTATGGCTTCAAAAAATGATAAAGTGTCTAAAGCAACAAATCATAAGTCAAAAATGCATCTGTCAGTATAGTCTTAAGAAATGTCAAATTTAAGCTGTTAAAGCCACGCTGTTTTACTTTAGCTTGTCCATAGGAAAACATCATTTTTCCTTTATAACTTACCGTCGTTCTTATGGTTGCCGAGTGTTTTGATTCGCTTGACACAGATCAGAAAATTTTATGCACCACTTTACCTTTTAAAGACATCATTTAATGGCCTTTCATCCATTATATGCCTTGGTATGCAATAGTGGAGGTATGGTGCAGGTCAAATTTGAAGATTAAAACCAGCTGCTTCATCTATATCGAGCGTTCATATTGACACTGTTCCGTAGGTCTTACAGTACAAAGACCCACTGTTTTCCATATGTCTTTTTCAGATTCTTGTTCCTCATGCTCCATTCTTCGGAGGCAGATAGGAGAGACAACAGAAAGCAGTGAAGTGGTGGGGAAGGGGGGGGGGAGGGGATGACAAAAGTTTAATTCGACTTACTTACAATATAAATATGGTTTTGCCAGATTAAGATGGGTAAAAAATTTGATGTACTAGAATGGGAAATAGATTTCGATATACAGGGTAAAAATAATAAACGATAATGTTTACAAAATCGGCTAGAGAATTGTGACGGCAAAAAATCGGTACATTCAGAAGCATAATTTTGGTGAAGTTATTAAAGCGCATTTTAAAAAAAGATGAAGAGATTTACAGCATTTCTTGGAACTATTTTTGATAAACCACAAACTTTCTCGGAAACCAAATAAGCAGAGGAAGGAAAAAAAAAAAAA